TTCTGAATGGATCAATTACACTAACCTTGTGTGTGGATTTTCAATGGTATCTTCTTGAAGTTGCAAATTAAATATGTTATTAACAAACATCGCGCTAAGATGGTCTAGAGTTCAATGAAACAGGGGGAAACGACTATTATCTCTGAACTATTCAGAACTTAATTTAACTTTTCACTATGATAAAAAGTCGAAGAAATACATACATGCCTCTCTGATTAATTTTCTTTTATATCTTGAAGAACATTCGCAACCAAGATCGAATTCTTTCGGACACACGGTACAATTGAAAAGACCTTTTTGGTGTCTACGAATTCATTGATTGCTCTCCTATTATACATAATAAATATAAATATAAATATATATAATAATAATATAATATAATATTATAATAAAATATATATATATAAATAAATTGTATAAATGAAGTAACTGGGAATTATATTATAACTGGGTTTTATATTATGGAATTTGTAGAAAGGACCAAAAATACGCATGAAGTGAAACACAGAAACTTAAGAAATAAGAAGCGGATGAAGTAAAAATGTTTCGAATGATATATATCAACCACATAAAGTTTAGTGTGATTTTTATTTGATGACACAGTAATTATCGTTATTTGAATAAAGGTCGAGTGCAATGTCGTACAGCGTATAAATACGGTACAAACGTAAAAAAACCTGTAAATGCGACTTATAATTGTTACGTTACATGCACATCGATTTCACGACGACATCGTGCCACCGACCGAAATCTGAATGCGGCCCATGAAGCCCCCTATTTGTTAAACATGTACAATATGTATAGTCTGTGTAGCCTGTATTATTCTGTCTTCGCTTTGGTAGTCGGCACGGTCCAATGAATTGCACGCGAATGATTTATTATTTCTTTTGCCCCTCCGCCACTTCCCTTTATACACTTTACACGCCGCTGTCTAAAAAGGGATCTCTCTCACAGGCTACCGTGGTGGGACTTCCAATTGAATTTCCATCCTAGCGTCATCGTACATTCCAATCGTATCTCATATTTACAATGTTACATGACCAGAATTACTCACATATCTTACTGGCTAATTATAAACTTTATCCGTCATCGTACATTTAGCGCCGTCATCGTTTAGGTTTTGTGTGTGTGTATGTGTCTGCGCGCGCGCGCGCGCGCGAGTGTGTGGTGTGTGTATTTATATATATTTATATTAACATTTTTTTTTTAATTAAATAGAGCTTTCGTAGCAAAGTATGTATAAATAGACTATGTTTGCACGCACACCCATCATCATCAGTGCTCACTTCGATCTGCGCTGCATTTCTGAAGGCGAGACAGTACACTCCCTTTGAGCGGTTCGTTTATGAGATCCGTCTATCGAATAAGATAAGCTATTACCTGAAAAGTAGTGGACGAGAGGAATGGCAGTTCCCCGGGGATCCTAAAAACCTTGGCCCAGTGCGAAGCCGTTATTTTTTGTTTGTTTGTTGTTTACGCTCTATGATATAATACTGTATATCCCACCGAAATTTCTCGAGAAGAGCCGCGCGTTAAGCTTACACCTTACGTTGTTGGATCGTACACTTTGACCGTAGAAATCTTATTTGTTTAAAATAGACTCGTACTTCCATAACGGCAGCGTGGATTATTGCATCGCGTGGCGGCGTTACGTTCTTGCGCACCCATATCAATGTATATGTCGAAGAACATCCGCGTTATTCGCCTTTACTTGTCTCTTACTTATTTTTAATTACATATCACACCGAGGTGCCTGACGCACGTAAAAATCTAGAATAAATATAGGCCAGTTGTAGGCATTGAAAAACTTTTTTTCTCTCGACAGATTCTAATTCCTAATTTCGCCGGTAATACACACCATTTTTCTTATCGTTTATAAGAGCGAATGAAAGGACGTGTTTTTTTTTGTTTATAAAGAACACCGTACCGCGTATTACCAAAGACCTCTTTGGTCCTCATTGATACATTGACCGTTTCGCAATATCTCTTTGATATCTTTTCTTTTCTTTTTTTTTTCGTCATAAAAAGTTAGAGGGAGAAAAATCTGTAATCGTAATCTTAAAGTTATTAAAAATTTGCTTTTGATTCTTTCCTTGTTCTCGTGACAGTTTTTTTTTTAGATGCATCTAATTCGGTTGTATGTCCCAAACGGGTGTAAATTCATAGCTGTTGTTCCGTCTCGATGGTACAAACTGGCCTCGCGCAAATCTCGTCTCTAAAGATTTCGTTTCGTTCGTAGAAACAGTGCCGCCCGGCATTGTCGAGTTACAACGCCGATTCTACACCCCTGGACGACGATGTCGATGAACTCAGGTCTTCCGAGTGCCGAGTGTGGGACGAATCGAGGGAGGTGACCGAGTCGCTGTCGTTGCTGTGAGGACTCGAGTAATTAGCCGCTTCCTGTAGTCTCATTAGCATGTTCAGCTGCAACATGCGGCGAATGTTAATTAATTGTTATATTACATTACTCTGCACGTATCATATTATACATAGTAAGCAAGTTGTCAGCCAAGATCCAAATAGTTTAGCCATATTTTTAAGAATATTTATACGTCTCGAAGCTATGAATTTTCAAAACAACTATTACCGACGCGTTAATATTCGTTCCAACAATTTTGATACGAAACAAAATTTGTTGTGAAAAGTTACAGTCTTATAAATACAGAGTACAGTAATGTCTCTCTAATTGACGGCCAGATTGCGCACAAAAATGGACAATTTGGGAGGAGGAGATGCGATTATTCGAACCTTATATTTATTTATATTTATAAATTGTCCATAATTATAAAAACGAGCCGCAAGGCTCGAATAATCGTATCCCTCTTCCCAAATTATCCAAAATTATTAATTATTACTGTACTGCTAATAAGAATTAAATGTGTATTAAATGTATATTAAATGTCCTGACATTTTTGCCTATTACCTATTGCTAGATATTTAATTAGGCGAGGCAGCTTCAATGAATATTAAAAAACAAAGTAAAAGTTGCGTCCGATTAATATCTTCCCAACATTTGCAAAAATAACCCGTTAATCGTTTCACTTAAAAAGTATACTAACCAGCGGATCGCCTTCGGTGTCGCTGTGCGTGCTTCCGAGGCTCTTAACGCTTGATCCTCCGACTCCGGAAGTGTGTCCGGAAGTAACGACATCGTAGCCAACATCCTCGGGACGTAATCGAAGAAGCGCATCGCTGCCACCGTGCACCGCGTGCGTCGAGATCCACGGATAACTGGATGTGATAAATTGAGCTGGATCTTCCCAGGAAGTGTCGCCGTTTCCATTGCCGCTGACGCGTCTGCCATAAAGTGTTAATCCTTCTCGGACCGCTTCGACCAAGTACGGTATCACGGAGTAATTCCACAGGTCCGTGAACCATACTTGAGAACCTGTCACCTCCATCGGACAGGACAGAAATAGTCGCGGTCCTGGAGGTGGAACATTCGTTATTAAACGGTCTGCGACGGGTTAGAAGTTCAGACAGTGCGGTAATCGTTAGATTGAAGTAGGATCGTTCTTCTCTCACCTATGGTCACGTCGGAACTACTATGAGTTTCTAGGAACTTGTTCAGGTGTAACCAAACACGGGGCAACCACTCGACAACCGCCGCCATTTCTGCGTTCCTGGTCCCACCACATTCGCGAAGCTCGTGCTCCAATAGTTTTCGCCTGAGATAACGGCCCAAGAACCCTTTAACTGGTTCCATGTGGTTAGCGCAGAGCACCCACCTGAGAAGAGAAAGGCTCGATGAAAGTTAATGCACAAGAAGCGGAGACCCATTCACCTCTTCGAAGACTGTACAAAATAGGGATGCAATTCAGACACCTGGAGAGCTACAAAAGATTTTTTATACTTTCTCAACAGTCAATATTTAAGAATAATGCATCGCACAGAAATATTGGTCTGAAAATATTTTTCATTTGACATTCTCAACTTTATTACAATTGTTGTTTAGTAATAATTTTTCAGATAAATATGTAGACCTACTATTCAAGATTATTCGAGTTAGTTAAGCATTTCGTGCAAGTTAAGATTAATTTGTTGTGACTTCTTTCTACGATTTATTACAAAGAAGTAGAATACCAGTCTAAAAATAGAACAGTTATTACTGTTTCAAGCCTTTTACACCTCGTAGATTCTAACAAGATTTGGTTTAAATAATGAATTGTAATGAAAACTAATCTTCAAGTTTGATAACAAAACGGCGACAGTCGTATACACCTGATGTGGCTCTTAACGAGTAGCATGTACGATACAAGGACGCGCTATTCCTTTTCATAATGTGTTTATCGACAAGAAAGAAACTTAAAAAAATACCTGAAATTGTGATGTAATTGAAGGTTTGTTGTGCTACAAGTGGCTTGGCTCATTGTGCCGATAATAGCTGGGCAAGACGAGTGTCTCGTGCCGAGGAGGCCGCTGAACAACTCTCCCAAGGACGCGGCGTGTTGCAAATTCTCGAGTATGATTACTCTCGGTAGCTCGTCGGCTGCGTTCGAGTCGCATCTTTCGGCGATGTGCGCGAGATACTGCCTGAGCTCTTTGCTGGACTTGTGATCAACGTTGAACGTGGCCACCGCTGCAGCGTCTTTGGTGTCGTTGTCGATATCTACCAGGGCGTGAGCCAATTTTCCAGCCAGATAGCTTTTTCCGGTGCCGCTTGGTCCGCAAAGAATGACCCTGCGATGCTCGGTTAGCAGTGATATCAGCCGCTGCACAATGGATCGTGGTATTAGGGTGTCCACCGCGAGCCACGAGTAGCCGGAGAGCACTAAGTAAATCGTTTTCACGTGGCCGATCAGATATCCGCAGGGTAGCAGTTCCGGATGCTGAGAGTCGGTGGTGCACCTACATAGAGAAACGGGATCGCAAATATGTTAGCCATAATTATCCGAAAGAGAAGTAAGCGTGCTAGCATTCAAGGGGGCCATTCAAATGGTTTGTCAAGTGCTAATTTATCATGCGAGTGAGTTAGAATTGTAGCGGTGTTTCTCTCCGACATGTATGCAAAATAATATTATAATATTATAATAATATATATTATATTATATATTATGATAATATATATTATATTATATATTATGATAATATATATTATATTATGTATTATAATAATAATATATTATAATATTTTAAATATACTTTCAAATCATGTTTACAGCAGTTCACGATTTTGATCGATTATATTCTGCCAGTAGATTCGAACACGTTTACAATAACGTTACAACGTTTACAATCAATTTTTCTTTGAATTCTCAGTTATTTCTAATTCGTTTCAGCATCGATCGAATAAGCTCTCGTACACGGAAGCGCTTAACAACAAAAGAACGCNATTCAAGGGGGCCATTCAAATGGTTTGTCAAGTGCTAATTTATCATGCGAGTGAGTTAGAATTGTAGCGGTGTTTCTCTCCGACATGTATGCAAAATAATATTATAATATTATAATAATATATATTATATTATATATTATGATAATATATATTATATTATATATTATGATAATATATATTATATTATATATTATGATAATATATATTATATTATATATTATGATAATATATATTATATTATGTATTATAATAATAATATATTATAATATTTTAAATATACTTTCAAATCATGTTTACAGCAGTTCACGATTTTGATCGATTATATTCTGCCAGTAGATTCGAACACGTTTACAATAACGTTACAACGTTTACAATCAATTTTTCTTTGAATTCTCAGTTATTTCTAATTCGTTTCAGCATCGATCGAATAAGCTCTCGTACACGGAAGCGCTTAACAACAAAAGAACGCACCTAGAGGCTTCGCCGAGATGATAAGCGGCGACACATTCCACGCCTAGACCGAGATTCGTCACAGGATCAACTCTGGTGACATATTCCTTGAAGCAACGTCTCACGGTAGAATCGAGCGAGTCCCAAGTAGTTTTGTTGCTGATGCAGACGCTTGCGATGACGCAATGGGGGGGCTCGCCCATGTTCCCGTCGGACGTGCTTCCAGTTACCAGATTATAATTGAAGTTCTTCTCGCTGCCCAGATAGATGGCCACGTTGATCCGTTTCCCGTCCGTGTCCTGCTCCAGGGTCGGTTCTCCCGTTGCCGAGGTGGTCGATGGCACCACCGGGTGTTCCGGCACGTTCAAATTTTCCAGTTGATCCGCCGCCGAGGAGGCGTCGCCGTTTGACAATGCGGCAACGGTGGAGGCCACCTCCGTCATGCTGAAACGTCTGTCCGGGTCACTGGGCAATGACGACTGTGACGACGTTAAAGATTTCGACGTTACCAACCTCTGAAGACGCTCGTTATTTTGCTTCAAATTAAGCATCTCATTCTGCAATTGGGAAACCAATAAATACACAGTACTGTGTTAGGACTTGTCCGCTCGCGTACACAGGACTTATCCGCACGCTTCACGTAGCAATAAATTACAAAGGCGTAGTAGGACTAGCACAGGGAATTCCAGTAGAAATGACTGTATTTGACAGAAGCAAATACTGAGGAATATACTATAAATATAACTTTGTATATAAATTTGTATATAAATATATATAACTTTGTAATCCAAGACGGCTTTGTTTACCAAGATCGGCATTAGAAACTGTACTTTCCTTTGCGAGATTACACTCGCCATTTTCTGCCGGTTCACTGTCAAATCTCGTCCGCCAGACTATGCTCCATTGTACTCGACACAACGGGTAGCCGACTCGACTTACCCTCATCTTGATGACAGTGTCTTTCAAGGATTCCAGCTGGTGCGCCGAGGACAAAGCCTCCAGCCTGATGTCCGTCAGCACAAGATCCTTCTCCCGGAGTTGTTTCTTCAGCTCGACCACGTCCTCGTCCTCCTTCTTGTACAATGCGGAGCTGCTCTTGCTTCCGGACAGCGGGTTCTCGACTTCCGGCGACTTCTGGCCATTGCTTCGGGTGCCCTGGCTCCTCGCGGACTCGTGTTTAGCGGCGGTGGGCAGCCTGGGGCTGTTAGGCGCGCTCAGGTCGCCCCCGGCGCTCTCCTTGCAGTCCTCCGCGTCGGAGACGGAGCCGTGACGGTTCTTCCGGGACCTGGAGAACGCCTTCGAGAACGAGCTGCGCAGCCAGCCCTTCTTCTTGTGGTGACTGCTCGCCGAGCAAGCGCTGCTCAGCGAGTTCAGCGACGTCACGCTGTCCGCGGACAACTGCCTCGCCATCGACGCGCCCTGATGATTGCTGTTCCCGGTGCAGCTGGTCGTCCCGGAATCGGAATCGCCGAGGGTATGACGGCGACCGTTGTTCGCGCTCGGACCATTGTTCAGACCAGCCTCGGCGCTCTGTTTCCGGAGCCTCTCGATCGTTTCCCTCAACTCCTGAAGCTCCGAGTCCTGGAAATCACCGCGCATTTTACAGTTCGTCAAAATTTAGGAAATTTAATGTACAGTAATTTCTCCCTAATTGTCTATTTTTAAAAATGTCTCAAATCCGAAATGAGAGAGAGGTTCCCGAGGTGATTTCAAGCAACTTTTTCCTTAGCGAAAATGTCCTACGAGGCTTCGTTTACGAGTTATAAACGAAAAACACTGGCCAATAAGAAGCGAGGAGGGCCGGCGCTTCGCCCTCGCGGCTAATGCCGCGTCGCGCTGGCCGTCTGTGACGCGGCGACGGTGGCCGCGAGGGCGGGGCGTCAGTGTTTTTCGCCGATAACTGGTAAACGAAGCCTCGTAGAACATTTTCGCTAAGGAAAATGTTACTTGAAATCACCACAGGAACCTTCTCCTCCTCGTAGAACCGCCAACGCACAATTATTCTTCGGGCACAGAAGTTTGAACACATAGGCTGAGTCGTTATCATAATTTATATAATTTAATTATATAATTTAATATTATAAATTAATATTATATTATTATAAATTATTATATTTTTTCTTTTCCTTTTTTTTTATTAAAATTACGCTACAAATCAATTGACACGAGATCGATATTATCACAAAAAAAACGCCAGTTTCGATGTTTCCATCGACGTTTTGTCGCGACGATATTCTCCTTCAACGAGACGCAACGGTTTCGCGCAAGAGGGAGCAGCGATCGTTCACGCGTCGCGAACGACGTCAGTGCCGCGAGGACGGCGAATCTCTCGACTATGACAGCAGGGGCAGTTGTCCGAGTGGCTGACTATAGAGTCGGTGCTCCACGAGCTGGCCACGCTGAACAATTGTCTCATGGACTTCGCGGCGTTCGACTCTTTCTTATCCTCGCGCGTCTCGTCTTTCCGGCTGTTCGACAGACTTTTCTTGAATTTACTGCCGATTGCCGGCCGGTGGTTGCCTCCCTTCAACGCCGCAGCAGGGCCTACATTGTCGGAACATTCGGGCGCTTTCGGCACCTCGGAGTCGCCCAACCGGTTCGTCTTTTTATACGACATGCTCCTCAAGCCTCTTTTCAATTTCGCGTGAATACCGTTCAGCTTTTTCATCGCTTGCTCCCGTTCGTTCGCTTCTTCTTCCCTCTTCGAATCCTGAAGCCTCTTCGTCGCCTTGACGTCCGCGTTTCGACGCCGTCCAAGGACCCTGCTCGATCGACCGGCATCATTCGCGTATTTCCCGTCGGTCCTCGAGCCGGACGGAACGGTGGAATTCTTCGAGGAAGACGAATTCGACTCGAGCGAGGAGGAGTTTTCCGAATCGGGTATACGCAGACCGAGCACCTTGGCGTCCTCTGGAGGGATCGGGATCATGATCGTGCGGTTCACCAGTCGCGCATCGTTGTCGAACCAGGCGGAAATCAGTCGCGAAGACATCGAGTCACCTGGTCGGTCCAACTTCCGGCGCGGAGGCAACTTCGTTGATGGCGACGGGTTAGTCACGAGCTTGTCCACGGTCCGTTTATTGTTCCGCATGTTGAGGCATTCGCCATTTTTTTCAATTTCTTCCACCGGGTGAAGCGAACTAAAAGCAAGGTTAACTTATGACGGCGGAAAGCGCGACATTCTGCGGGTATTTTTGCAGGTGTTCCGAAGTGCTCGAACTCTTGGCGCGGCGTCCGCCATTTTTTAAACGCCGGAGCAGTGGTTTGGTTTTACCGGCATCTCGTCGAAGGATTTTCGAACTGTCGTTGTCATACTTTTCGGTGATGTTATTATCTTTAATTATGAACTGTCAACTGAATTGTACGTATGTACCGATGACTCGTGGTTACGTTCAAGTTATTTCGGATTTTCAGTTGTCTATGATAGATGGAGATAGCGGAGATTACTGTGGCGGAATGGAGGTAATTAATGTTTTCTATCTTATCGACGATTTGCTATCGAAGCTTTCGTCACCGTGTAGATATATTAATTCATTTATTATTTATATTATATATTATTACAATATATATATATATTATTACAATAATAAAGTAATTCATTTATTATTGTTACTTTATTACTGTAATACACTCTTATATTTTTGCGAGTTCTATCCGAATTAAAACTTTCTCTCGAGACAACTTCTCTTTTCGCATCTTCGCGAGAGAGCCTATACAAAGGGAGACGACGTCCTTGAAAGTTGCAGAGCCCTTGCTTTAAAAAAAGTTCTCCCTGTTTCGTAGGAAATACTCACTTTTTTTTCAGCTGTTGCAGTGAGTTGTTGCAGCCGTTGTGTCATGTTGGACAAGGACTGCTCGAAGGCCGACACCACGTGAGCCTGCAACAGAAAAGAAGATCGAAGAACGTCAGGTAAGTTGTTAATATACGGGGTGTCCCGAAATAATGGCACATCCGGAAAACGAAGGGTTCCCGAGGTGATTCGAAATAACTTTTTCCTTGGCGAAAATGCGATCCGCCGTTTTGTTTACGAGTTATATAATTTATATATAATCTTTAAATTTAATATGAGTTTTAGCACAAATAATTACGAGTGAGTGAATTTAATTCGCAAAGGAGTGAATAAAACCTGCGAAAGGGTTAATTTGATCTACGTTATTTTGATCTACGCGGGAAGATGAACTTGAAGTGCAAAAAGATGTGTACGATCTACAAAAAGATAGATTCGGAGTGTGAAAAAGTGGACATGATCTACAAAAGGATCAATTTCGTGTGCAAAAAACCAGTACATAATGTTTCTATGGATTCTCTGTAAAGAAGAGTCAACGAGTAAAGAAGAACCACATGGGGATGTCGGGGTAGATGATGTTGAAGCGCAGGGCGAATATTACAGCGGCAGCTGCCTGATTTCCATAACAAGAGTGATCAAAATGGAGAAAAAATTGAACGATGCCATATTTTTGCGCCCCTCGATCATATCGTTACGTCCTGGATCACGCAATTACAGTGGACCGCTGTTGCACGAGTCGCGGAGATAATCGCTTCGCGTTCAACGATCCAGGTACGGAGAAAACTTCTCGGAGGGTTGAACGTGCCGATCTAAAAACTCTTCCAACACGAACTCTTTCTTATCCGCTTCACTGCTTGCTTCGTATCGTTCCTATCGTATTAAAACTTAGAACTCCGAACCATTCTGGACCATTTACAGACCTTCGTATTATTTAGTATGGTTTTGGAACTAACTAACATATTATAATGATATTGCACTTATATGAATTGGCTGAAATCGAGAAATTTGCAAAACAATCAATATTTTATTTTTTATAATTTTGTTTTGTTGTTGTAATCGCTATTATATTAATAATATATAATAATAATAATTACTATATTAATAATATATAATAATAATTATTATTATATTAATAATATTAATAATTCATAATGATGTATAATAATGTACCAATAACACAATAATGTTTTCAAATCCTTCGAACGTTTTCACAGAAAATCTGCAACGAACGTAATCTCTGGAAGCGGAGGGTAAATTGCGAGCAATGCTCGGAATTGTTTATCGGCGAGCTCGGGATTCAGAAAATCGAGGGAGAACAAAGGTTAAAGGATGCGTTGGCCGAGCTACGTTTCCGCGCGTAATACCAGAGAAATTATTCCGCTGGTGAAACGCGAACGGTAATTTTCACGGACCTATCTCAGGACTCCGGTCATTGTTGTAGCTTTTCGCTTCTGCGTCGCCAGACACGAAATGAACGTTCACGCTCACGATGATGACTATGGTTGCGGAACACGCGATATATTCCACGCTTTTGTCAGAACGTCAACGTCAATGAATCGCATTGTTTGAACCATCGCGCGTTGCCGTCACTTTGATGGGCACGCCGCTGTGAGGTCGTTTCAAACCGTAGAGCCGAATTCTCGTAATCGCAGAACTGTTTCGAAAGCCGTGCGACGATCGATACAGTAATTTTTCCCTAATTCGCGCTCGGATCGCGCACAAAAATGGACTATTTGGGTAGAGGAGATACGATTATTCGAGCCTTGCGGCTCGTTTTTATAGTTGTTGACAATCGGTAACTATATAAACGAGCCGCGAGCGCCACCTGTCGGCTCGCGGCGCCTCAGGCGCGTAGCATAGTGGCGCATTAGGGCGACGCTCCTATCGATACATTTCCACAACATCCACGAGGGTACTATTGTTAACGCGTTTTTCTTTTTGTCACACGATAATTTCGGATCGACGATAAATATGGAAAGTAAATCTTGAGAAAACAGTTTTCGATTTCGTCGAAATTTTATGCTCGGCACGAGACAGTTCTTTGATTACAATCATCAGAAAATCGCGCATGGAAATGAGGCGAAATCGCGCGATCGTAGAGACCGGTAAATCCTTCAAAAGATCACGACCGATCGTAAATATGAGATGCGCTCCCACGCGTGATTCTAATGCGATTGCTACATTGTTTCACCTACTGCCGAATGCGTCGACCATGCTCGAAGGAAATACGTTTCTTTATTGGGCGGCTGGTCCAGGATACGCTCGTAAACGCGGCCCACCTACGAGCAGATTTTACACTTTCTTCGACTCGTCCACTTTTTGGACGGCCCCATTTTTTCTGTTCGGAAACTCCCAGTGAACGAAATTCCGGTATTGCAGAAAATTATTTGAATAGAGTTATTTATTATTATTTATTTATTATTATATTATTATTATTTATTTATTAGTTAGAATTATTAGCGAATAGAGAAATTTAGTTGCAAATCGTAGGGTGCTCCAACTACACGTTGGAGGAGAAGGCGACGCACGCGGAGATCCCGCGGGCGACTCTCGTGCCATCTAGCGGGCCGAGCACGTGGCTCCTCTCCATCGACCGTGCCATCGATTTTCCCTCTCTTATAACCTGTTGGTTCGTTCTTCGGATTGTATCGACTGCTTTATCGTATACTAAATGCGTTAGTATTCTTTTCTAGTGATTGCGTTCACCCTTTCGACCTCACGTCTCGCGTATACTATATCCTGTACCGTTAGTTTCCGGTTTCACAGATATCGCGGTAACAACACTGCCGACACTTTAAATTCGTTTGTTCTCGCGCGACCGTATTCCGATCTGTGTCCCTTTACAAGTGTCTCACAACCGATCGTTGATTCCGTTGCCAGTAATTTACGAGTGCTTTACGTTGAAACGCTACGCGACACCCACACACACACAAGTCCCGACGCATCACCGGCCGATAAATATCGTGGGCGGGCTTTTGCGTCTCGTTCGATTTGGAGAACGTGTGACACGTTGTCACGGCTGTCTAGGTTAAATGTTAATGCATTTCGTCTATCTACGCGTCGTCTATCTCGGCGTCGAGGACCTTTCGAAAAGCTGGCGAATTATACAAGAAAATTTCTCGCATTTGTAAGTAGTTTCTTCTCGAAGGTTATGTTGTTTAATTTAGAACAATTGATCGCGCCCATGCATGACTTTACTACTTTTCCCGCGCAAATTGTTTTCCGCGTTTTCTTCTCCGTAAGCCGTAAATGGCGCATTTTAACTATCGCGTGATTTTCTTGTAGGAACGTTCGATTTGGGTTTATTATTATCAATAATAATTATTATTATAATTAATATATTATTATTAACGCTTATTATTGTTTATTCGAAGAGAAGTTTTCTACGTAATTTATACGGTTTCTTGCATTTTAGAAATCTGCGCGTGTTTTAAGTTCGTAAAGATTCTCAGTCCGATTATTATGTTATGGTAATACATAATATAATAGTAATAATAATAATAATAATGTAATACAATAAAAATCTTATTCAACAATAATTGATTATATGTGACGCAATAAAAATCTTATTCAATTATAATCAATTATACGAAATACAGTGAAAAATCATGTTCAATTGTAATTAATTATAACGATATTAATTGTTGAAGCGTGCGTCGGTAGATATGTGTAGGAAGTGATCGGGTAATTTTTGAACGGTGTGTACACAGTGTTTAAAAAATGTGTACGTTCGACTTGCTCGCTGTCCACCCACAACGAACGAAAATTATTGATGCATTAGTGCGAGCACTATCTCGCCCATAAGCGGTTTATGAACGATTATGCAAATTCCGAGTTGACAAATACGATTCGACAAAAGAACAGTAGCAACGAAATTCCTGTTCGTTCGATCGAATTGATCCGTTAAGTGAAATAGTGACTACTTTCGTGCCATCTTTTCTCCCTTTCATTTTCTTTCGTACGCTCGCTTTCATGAATACAGGGTGTCCCAAAAAAACGAAGAGTTCCCGAGGTTTTAGGGGTTATTAACGGAAAACAGTAGCCAATGAGAGGCGAGCTCGGCTGAGCGGCTCGAAGAGCGCGCGAAGGCCCGCTGATTGGCTCGGCCGCGTCCCGCCAAGCTGATCTCGCCTCTCATTGGCTACCGTTTTCCGTTAATAACTCATGAACGAAGCCTCGTAGAACATTTTCGCTAAGGAAAAAGTTTCTGCAAATGACCTCAGGAATTGTTTAGGACGCCCTGTGTATATAAAAATTGTGATGTGATACATTATCATATAGTAGGAAGAAACGAATGAAATTTATAGATAGGTACAATGTTTTAGTATCAAGATAAATAAAGTAAAAACATAAAAACCTTCGGATAAGAGAGCCTCTACTGTACTAACATGTCGCCTGTATTTACCTTTTGTCGTTGTGCAGAAGAGGATTCTGCATCCGAGCGGAATAATTAATCAGTCGCGAGGTAAGCAGAGATCATTGTACAAGAATGCCTGTCTTTTTCCTCTAATAATAGACCGTCGGGTTACGTCGGACGAATTTTAATGGCTTAGAAAGCAACGATCACTCGCATACTTCCTTCCAGCGAGTCTCTATGAAATTAAATGTCATTCACCGTGCGTGCATCCTGATGCATCCCCACGAGTCGCATGTAGCGACGTTTCGCGCGGTTTTATGCTGTTCCCAAGCGAATATCGCATGATTTTTATAGTTAGATTTTTGTAAGTTATCAATATATATATATATTGTTATATATTTTATTACTATATATTTATTATTATATATATATTATTATACATTATTATATTATATTGTTATTATTGCTATTATTCTATATTATTATTATATATTATATATATATAATATAATATAGCAATATATATACATATATATACTTTTTCCTTTACAAAAATGTTCTCCGAGGCACCGTTAACGAGTTATTAACGAAAAACAGTGACCCTGTCTCTTATACACATCTAGATGTGTATAAGAGACAGAGTCTACAGAGTGTCCCAAAAATGTCTCGCAATCCGGAAATGGCGGGTTCCTCGGATCATTTGAAGCAACTTCTTCCTTTACAAAAATGTTCT